TGATGTGACTGTGGGGGGACATTAGAGTGTAAGCTCCTCTGTACAGAGACTGATGTGACTGTGGGGGACATTAGAGTGTAAGCTTCTCTGTACAGAGACTGATGTGACTGGCTCAGTGTTCTCTGTACAGCACTGCGGTATATGTCAGAGCTATATATAAATGTATAATAATAACTGTGCGTGGGGGGGCCCGGCCTAAAGTCGTGTAGGGGGCCCCGAAATTTCTGATGGCTGCCCTGCCTCCTCCTCCACGGCGCTTCCTCTGCCTCGTCGCCGACTCTGTCCTTTGACTCCTCTGCCCGGCTGCCTGTTTTGGGGGCGGCCCCCCTGAAAACTGCTGCCCAAGCCTCGTGGCAGATGTGCCCCTGGATGTGCGGAGACATGTGAACAATCAGCTTGCCATTGTTTCGTACAGGCTGAGCAGCTGCAGCTGTCCGCAACCACCTCTGATTGCTGCTACAGGAATCCGCAAATTGTAGCCACATGTTGGCACTAAATGGTCCGACTGAATGAGGCCTCAATCAGACTAATGTGAAGAAAAGCAAACTTCCTCTTCTGTACTGTCTCTTTAGCTAATCCACAGTGCCCCGAGAATTCTTTTTACCATGTACAGCATATCTAAACCCAAAACCAGAAATGTAATATATTGCAGGTTACCAATCCTTAGATGTGACGGCTGCTTTAGTTGTCTCTTTGTTTCCTTTATACACCTGGTGATCCAGCCAGTAACACACTTACTGTACTAGGGTGACATTGGGAGGGGCAGTGATCACATTGGGAGGGGCAGTGATCACACTGAAAGAGGCAGTGTTCACACTCAGAGGGACAGTGATCACATTCAGAGGGACAGTGATCACATTCAGAGGGACAGTGATCACACTCAGAGGGACAGGGATCACACTCAGAGGGACAGGGATCACACTCAGAGGGACAGGGATCACACTCAGAGGGACAGTGATCACATTCAGAGGGACAGGGATCACACTCAGAGGGACAGTGATCACACTCAGAGGGACAGTGATCACACTCAGAGGGACAGTGATCACATTCAGAGGGACAGTGATCACACTCAGAGGGACAGTGATCACACTCAGAGGGACAGTGATCACACTCAGAGGGACAGTGATCACACTCAGAGGGACAGTGATCACACTCAGAGGGACAGTGATCACATTCAGAGGGACAGTGATCACACTCAGAGGGACAGTGATCACACTCAGAGGGACAGGGATCACACTCAGAGGGACAGGGATCACACTCAGAGGGACAGGGATCACACTCAGAGGGACAGTGATCACATTCAGAGGGACAGGGATCACACTCAGAGGGACAGTGATCACACTCAGAGGGACAGTGATCACATTCAGAGGGACAGTGATCACATTCAGAGGGACAGTGATCACACTAAGAGGGACAGTGATTACATTCAGAGGGACAGTGATCACACACAGAGGGACAGTGATCACACTCAGAGGGACAGTGATCACACACAGAGGGACAGTGATCACATTCAGAGGGACAGTGATCACACTAAGAGGGACAGTGATTACATTCAGAGGGACAGTGATCACACACAGAGGGACAGTGATCACACTCAGAGGGACAGTGATCACATTCACAGAGGGTCAGTGATCACACCGCAGGCTGAGCTCTGCCCATGTACAGCACAGCACAGGCCACGCCTCTCACCCCTCCCCCGGCGCATGTCCGACAGCACAATCCTCGGATCAGCCAGGCTCAGCAGTCACGCGCCAGCACACGGACAGCGAGCGGCGTTTAGCTCCGCCTCACTTTTGAGGTCCCGCCCCGGAAGGAGGGTGGGCTTGACGGTCCTGCTGAGGAGCTCGGTGCGCCCTTACACAAGATGGCGGCAGAAGGGACGAACGGGATTCGTCTGAGTGCGGTGAGCGGGAAGAGGGGGGCCACCGCCGTGCTGTGTTCATGTGTTTGTGTCCGCCTGGTGCTCGGGTGGTTTTTACTGACAGAATTGGAGGCTTCTATGGCGTCGGCAGTGCCCGGAGCGGGGCCGGTATTATCACACGGAGTGGAGGAGACGAAGCAGCCCGGCTCCGATAGCACGGGGCGGCACGAGGCTGATGTTTACTGTTGCGGCTCCGATCCGGGCGGCGTGTGACCCGAAATGACCTGAGGGGACAGGGGGAGGGGGTGTTGTCATTGCTTGGTGGTTTGGGGCGGCTCGCTGTGTATGAGGATGGCGATGACTGCACCTAGACTGATGTAGGAGGATGGCAATGACTGTGCCAGGACTCGTGAATGGGGATGACTGTGCCAGCACTGATAGGGATGACTGTGCCAGCACTGATAGGGATGACTGTGCCAGCACTGATAGGGATGACTGTGCCAGCACTGATAGGGATGACTGTGCCAGCACTGATAGGGATGACTGTGCCAGCACTGATAGGGATGACTGTGCCAGCACTGATGCGGGAGGATGGCGATGACTGGGCCAGGACTAGTGAACGAGGATGGCAATGTCTGTGCCAGGACTCATGAATGAGGATGGCTAGGGATGACTGTGCCAGGGCTGATGCGGGAGGAGGGCGATGACTGTGCCAGGGCTGATGCGGGAGGAGGGCGATGACTGTGCCAGGGCTGATGCCGGAGGAGGGCGATGACTGTGCCAGGGCTGATGCGGGAGGAGGGCGATGACTGTGCCAGGGCTGATGCGGGAGGAGGGCGATGACTGTGCCAGGGCTGATGCCGGAGGAGGGCGATGACTGTGCCAGGGCTGGTGCCGGAGGAGGGCGATGACTGTGCCAGGGCTGGTGCCGGAGGAGGGCGATGACTGTGCCAGGGCTGGTGCCGGAGGAGGGCGATGACTCTGCCAGTACTGTTTTTGCGGTGGGCTCTGACTGGTGTATTGGCAATGTCAGGACAGGAGGGGTACCTGGTGAGGCCAATTCTAGATGTAACACTCTGGTAATAGAGGTTGGCTCCGCCTCTGGCTGTGGTTTTGGCTCCGCCCCTTAGTCTTGGCTCTGGCAGGCCAGTACACTGGGCTCTGGTTTGGCATTCATTGATGTCGCTGTATCAGGGAATGTAATTGGGAGCCTGGCACTGGCTGGACTGGGCCGGTACGAGGCCGCCATGTTTCCTATGGCAGGTTGCAATAAATGACTCCGCCCCCCTCCCGGTGTATTCTGTGTTCAGAGGTGTTTGTCCTTTCATTTCTCAGCGATTCACTTTACGCCGCGCAAAGAGCTGTCACTAACGGATTCCTATGTGGTGACATCCGCCTTTACTACCACCTGAGCAGGCTCTGTGTTGCACTGAAAGGAGCAACATCTGTATCGTCTTGGCTGTGGAGAGTCTTAGGAAGTATCTCCCGGTCCTGCGGCTGTCTCTGATTTGACTTTGAGCTCTGTGCAGCCTTGTTGGCAAAGCAATGAGCCAGTTCTGTGAAAAACAATGCCAAAATCCCAAAGTCTCCTCTTGTGCATCAGAAGTCATCTCTACACTGTAAACCTTACAGGGGAGTTGTCATCAACTGGAACCACTCCTCCGTATTATTCTGTACTCTCTTCACATGTTCTAAGTTCAATTTGCCGCAGCAGCCTTACGGGGGCCCCCTTCCACCCCCAGGCCCCATAGCAGCCACCAGGGGTACTATTGCTAAGGTTTTGCCAATGCGTCTGTACATTATACGGTACATGTCTGTACAGCATCCAGATTGCCTTATTGTCAGGATATAGAACTTTGTGGCGGGTCTTGAAAAATCCTTGTGGACTTCAGATGTGATGTAGACATGTTTAATAACATTACAGTCTCAGATGCAGCAAATGTATACAATGTAGCAATTTTGGTTTTTGACGATTGTCTTAACGTATTTCTTCTGTCATTGGTGTGAACTTTGTACCGCTTTGTGTGTAGAGCTGGATTAAAGTGACACTAAACTTGGGGGATAAGTCTTAAAAGTACATTCAAGTACCTTTTACTATTACCAACAATGTGGTAATTGGCAACCAATCAGCTTCTCTCTTTCATTTTCAAATCTTAACTGATCAAACTGAAGAGAGAAGCTGATTGGTTGCCATGCACAGCTGCTCCAGATTCTGTCTGCTCCAGCTTTGATCAATTCCCCTCCACCCTATCTTATTTGTGTATCACTCGGCTGTAGATCCTCAAATCATCTCTGAATTGGTGCTGACACTGTCCTTCCTTCTGGAGGGTGGCAACTTTTGTTCCCCATGGTCCCTGTATGTGTTGTAAAGTAGTCACCGCTCCAAGCTCGCTCCCGTGATGGACTACAATCTCAATATAAATCAATAAACTAAACAACAGATTGTAGTCCTATCACAGGAGCGAGCTTGGAGTGGTGGCTACATTACAACACACACAGGGACCATGGGGGACACAAGCAGCCCCCCTCCAGAAGGAAGGACAGTGTCAGCACCAATTCAGAGATGATTTGAGGAACCACAGCCGAGTGATACACAAATAAGATACATTTTCTGGTAATAATTAAGGTACCTGAATGTATTTTTAATATTTATCTCCTCCGTGTAGTGTCAGTTTAAAGGGAATCTGTTACAAAGTAAACGGTCTGTCATGGAAGCGGCCATCACTAGACTAGAGCCGGACTTACATCAGTAGAATCTCTTTGGGGAAAAAAATCATCTTTGGAATGTTCGTGTGATTTTCTAATAGTAGTTCTTCTGATGGGCCAAATGAATTATTATTGTTATTATACAGGATTTATATAGCACCGACAGTGTGCGCAGCGCTTTACAATATAAGGAAGACATTACAGTTACAATACAATTTAAAGACAAGATGGTTAGGGGGGCCCTGCCCCTGAGGGCTTACGATCTATAAGGATGATCATTTATGACCATTGTGAATAAAAAATGGAAGAATGGGAATGGTAACAGTGAATGTGGTTTTCATTCCGGAGACCCCACTCAGTTCAAGAATCGAATGTTCAAACCCAACAAAAGTTTCAATGACATTCATCCAGTCTGATGGCGTTATCCGGTGTTCAGACCAGATTTTTTTGCATGAGCGCTTATATGAAAATCTACCGGTGTATGGCCAGCTGTAGGCTACATTTACACGTGCGATGTAGATGCGTTTATATGCCTTTTAAAATGGTTTGCTAAACTCATTCATACACATCTGATGGTTTCCATTGGATCTGTTCACACTTTGCCTTTCGATTCTTTTATCTGCACTCAGTTTAGCTGCGTTTTGAATAAAGAAGTCGGGAGCCTCCAGGGATCAGTTTGAATTTTCAAATGCACCAAAACGCATGTAATCGATTTGATGCTAGGACTACCAGATGCATGTAATCACGTGTCATTTAACACATCTAGAAGCATAAACACGGCATGACAACAGATCATTCTCTGCATGTAGAGCAGAAAAACGCAAGTGTGAATGAAGCCCAAGGCATGAATTATGCGCGAGTCCCCTGGCGAGCATTAGCTGCATGGACAATGTCTTCCCTTTACCGAGCAATGGTTGTGCAAATGTGACCGAATCCGAGTGGTCACATGAGATTCGGGAACCTGACAGGCCCTGGACCCAGACAGTTTGCATCACGGGGCGGTGTTTCTGGTCACAGATTAGTATCCGGATTGTATGCGACCCAACAACACAGCACTGCTGCGTCTAACCGCAGTTCACCTGTATGAACAAGACCTTAAAGGGTAATTCCAACTAAATTACCCCCACAAATCTGCCCCGTCTCCCCACCCCCACTGGTCATACCTTTTGAGCAGAAGCAAACCACCCCCAGACAATGCACTGCAGCCCTGCATTGATCATCTAGCAAATGGGGAGCACTCATTGGTCAGCATGGTCACCTGACCAATGAGAAGTGCTTCTTGCTAAAATAACCTTCTCATTGGTCAGGTGTCATTGCCCTTTAATTACCAGCCGTGCAGCATTGACAATAAACCTTTTGGCTCATTTCCTGGCCTTGGACTTACTATGTTACAATCTGTGTAGAATGAACTATAGATATAGCAATATACAGGACACACACGAACCATCCTGATCCATCTGTATGCAGCCAGCCTGGCCCGTGAATTGCATACTTGTTGGCAGATCTAAAGGAGATTGTACAATTAGATTGTAACGTGTGTTGAGCTTAGGGCAGCTTCCATCGGATTCCTAATCCTTTAGGGCAGCTTCCATCGGATCCTAATCACACAGGTTGCTTTGTTCACATGGACAGGTATCTAGTTGAAGTATTTGTACAGGTCTGTGCATTGTACTGAAGAATGGAAGAAATGCTTTGTGTGGAGGAACGGCATCCGCAGCCCAGAAGCAGCGAGCGTCCCTGATAACTGAAGTGTAAATTACCTCTCGCAGACAGGCAGTCACATGTGCTTTCATTTTCGTTTCTTAGTCCTGCAGCTTGTGATGCTCAGAATGCAAAGCCGTCTATTATTTATTTATATGAGTCATCAAGGAGGGACTATGCTGGGGATTCTCATTGGATTGTGATTTGTCTCTGTTCTGTTTACATCAGTGAGCTCGGCAGCATGCAAATATCACACCGGCAGACAGGACCTTCCTGATATCAGTGCACGCATTTGTCTGAACCGAAAACGTTTCTTCACTTTAATGGCTCGGAATATTCCAGTCGTTGCCTTTTAATTATTAGGGCAGAGCACAGCAGCCATGTGTACGGGTGTAGAGGAGCAGATTTCACATGATTGCGGATGGATGATCGAAACATTACTAGGTCACAAAGAGGGGAGAATGGCGTGGCTCAAAAATCACTGCGGTCTACCAATGTCACGCTGTCTGATGTGGTAAATAAATACAACGTAGGATTCATGTTTCTATTGGACAAAGTTTTAAACTGCCCAACCTATTAGATCAGAGGTGTCCAATCCAAACTTACTAAGGACCACGCCGAGGGTTGTGACTCAGAGGCCGGACATAAAGAAGAAAACGAACCCGCAGTGCAAAGCTCGGGCCTGGTAATTATTGTAGTGCGATCACACACAGGGCACCAGGATTGTCATCAGTCCCTGCTTATGGCAATCCTGGTGTTCTGTGCGTGAGCACACTACAAGTGTCCGTAGTTCCTGTCCATTATATGACAGTCCTGGGGTCCTGTGTGTGACGACAATACAAGTGTCCGTAGTCCCTGTCCATTATATGACAGTCCTGGGGTCCTGTGTGTGACGACAATACAAGTGTCCGTAGTCCCTGTCCATTATATGACAGTCCTGGGGTCCTGTGTGTGACGACAATACAAGTGTGCGCAGTCCCTGTCCATTATATGACGGTCCTGTGTGTGACGACAATACAAGTGTCCGCAGTCCCTGTCCATTAAATGTAATGCCCTCACACAGTCAGTCCACACAGCGGAACTTACCAGAGCCACCGAGACCAGAGGAAAGAAGGAACGTGTGGCCCAGAAGGGAGGTGCGGGGTCCTCAGAGGGCGACCGGCTGGATTGCCGCTCCAAGTTTTTTCTGCCTGAGCGCAGATTCCTCCATTTATTTCATTATTCTTAACCTTTTATTACAGGTATTTATACTTTATTACAGGTATTTATTTATACAGCGCCAACAGTTTACGTAGCACTTAACGCAGTGCACAGTCACATCAGTCCCTGCCCTCAAGGAGCTTACAATCTAAGGTCTCTATCTCACACACATTCATACAGGAGCCGATTAACCCACCAGCATGTCTATGAAGTGTGGGAGGAAACTGGAGTACCCGGAGGAAACCCACACAAGCACAGGAGAACATGCAAACTCCTTGCAGCTGTTTAGCATTTTCTCATTCAACAAAAATTGGCATGTGTATGGCCAGCTTAAGGCTAGGTTCACACCAGATGCAGTGCGTTCCGGTCTGATTCTGGCCAGAACGCACTGCATCGCATTGCGGCCGGCTCACTTTTTTGTGGGGCAGGAGGGGGCGTGGTGGGCCATTGAAGCCACGCCCTCCAGCCGCAATGCGATCGGCTGCACGGGATCGCAAGGCACATAGTGCTTGCGGCATTTTGATCGCACCGGACCGCAGGCAAAGTGTGCCTTGCGATCCTGTACAGCCGATCGCATTGTGGCCAGAGAGCGTGGCTAAGGCGCCATTCACTTCAATGGCCCACCTCGCCCCCTCCTGCCCCACAAAAAAGTGAGCCTAACAAATTCTGCTGCAGCAGGTGTGTTGCAGTGCCTTTCCTTTCAGTGGCACCCCAAAAGTGTCTCCCGTCCGCAGTGTGATCGCCCGCACTGGAACGCACGCTACCGCAATGGCATCCGTACCTGTGCTGTGCGATTGCAAAAAATACTGTGCATGCAGTTTTATCCTGAAGTAAACTTTGTAGCACTCCATTTGTGTATTTTAGGCGGCAGGATTACCTATATACAGTATCATTGGTGTCGCAGTGCTATCAATGTAGTTTGCCTTCCTTTTTTAGAACATGAATCCTGTTTGAAGGCTTTTGGGGAGTTTGGAATGTGTCTTAGAACGCAGATGAAGTCAGTTTTATGTAATGTGCATAGGAGAGCGCACGTGAACATCTTACATCATTTGGAGATGAGCAGAAAAGAAAATTAGTAATTTGGTTTGAGATTTATGTCCTTGTGTTTAAATAGTTTTGCGCTTAGGCTAGGTTCACACTTGCACTACACGACACCTGGGACTTGCGTCCTGGAATCGTGCGGTCCTGTAAAGTGAACGCAGTGATTGCCACGCGGCCCCATTGATTTAATTGGGGTGACATCCGCGCGGCAATCGCAGAAAAAAGGTACAAGTGCCTTCTTTTAGCGACAAACTATGCGGCCTCTTTTTTTTTATGCCTTTGGTGGGAAACCGCGTGATCCCTTGGCTACTCCTGACCGCACGATTGCTGCATGGTGAGGTTTCGCCTAGGCGTGCACCTAGCCTCAAAGAGACAGTGTCATTAAACCAGTTAGAAACCTCAATATACAATATCTGACAAAGTGTGCAATATGTACTAACTGTACCACCACATGCACTGCCACAGGCCAGGCAGGCTTTTATTGCAGATGAGACTCTGTACTTCTCTTCCACAATAAAAGTTTGGAAATGTTCCTTTTATTTGTACACAGAGCGGTGTATGGCCAGTCCAGTGTACTATGTCAGTATGTCTGGGGTGCTGGGATGAATGGACTACCATGCACATGAGCAAAGTACTTGGCAAAGTTTTTCTGGTCCTTGGTTTCCGGCGTCGTACTATTTGATTGCCGAGTAGTGCGGTCTGGTATGCCATAGTCGTCGGCTCCCTTCAACGACCCTTAGGCATTCCTTCATAGTTTTGATGGAGACGAGAGTCACGAAGGCAAACATAATTTCAGGTTCCTGAAGAGGACGTTTACAGACATAACACAACCAATCAAAGGGTCTGGTGCCCATTAGGTAGATGGTGATCTAGTAGTAGCTCTCAAAGCTGATGCTGGTAGATCAGGAAGGGTGTGAATGGCGGCCCCTTTATTCCATTTTTGTATATTTATTTAGCTGTGCACACATGATTACCTATTAGCCTGAGTCTGCTGAGCCGAGCTCCCTGACACCTTTCTGGTGGTTACTGGGGGTTGAAGTGCTATGTATTACATCAAAGAATATTGGTTTACACAGCCTGTTGCACTACACTGTTTGCAAAATACAGCAAGGTGAGCCAGGAGAGAGAGCGGGGAGAGACAGCCAGGAGAGAGAGCAGAGAGGGAGGAGAGACAGCCAGGAGAGAGAGCAGGGAGAGACAGCCAGGAGAGGAAAGACAGCCAGGGGAGAGAGAGAGATCGGAGAGACAGCCAGGATAGAGAGGGGAGAGACAGCCAGGAGAGAGAGCAGAGAGGGAGGAGAGACAGCCAGGAGAGAGAGCGGGGAGAGACAGCCAGGAGAGAGAGAGCGAGGGAGGGTTTTTTTCGTTGGTAGATCTCATGTAGCTCGTCATTTGAATTGTGGACACCCCTGTCTTAGAGTGTGTCATGTGTCTCATTAGCAGGGCTTGAGAAGACGCCGGAGCTGGACGAGTAGCTTGCCGGCCGTTGTAATTAAACGGCCGGCCGGGAGCTTTACTTTCAAGTGATCAGGCGTCTCTAGAAACACCCGATCGTTGTTATAGCTGCACTTTTTTTTCATTATATAGTTTTTTTAAAAACCCAATGTTAACATAAATTACAAGGCTGTAGTCCGGTCATGCTGACTGGAGAGATGCCCTAAAATGTTTCAAGCCCAGCTCATTAGTCTTCTGCCCCTTATAATATAGGTGTGTTTGGTGTCTGTTTTGTTATTTTCTTATGCATTTGTGTAACCACCTTTCTCAGGAATATGCGATATGAGTGGATTTTGGCTCTGGTGGTTTAAAAAAAGAAAAGTGGGCTCAGAATGTGTATTTGCTCAAACCATTTACCAGACTGTTTTATGCCTGGTCACTGCAGGACCCATTAAGAGTCTTTGAATTATTCTGTCCAGGGAAAGTTTAGATTTGAGGACATCCTGCTCTGCTCTAGCTTGAGCCGTTGGGGATTTCTGATGGTTCTGCTAATTGAGCTGTGTTCTAGTGGGCAGGATTAAGTGTCTCACGTCTCATGCTGTCCACCACAAACAGATTTAAGGCAGATCGTTTTAATGTTGACTTGTGTATATGACTTCCCCCCCCATTCTCTCAACTCATTTTGGAGATCTTTCAACAAAAGTCGATTGAATTATTGACTCATCAAGCAGGGTGCCATTTCTTTAGTGTTTTGAGACACTAAGCCAGAGCAAGTATGCTGATTGTCTTCTGGCCTGTGTACTTTGTTTTATTTTATTGGTTTTCCTAATAGCCAGATATCCAGCATTTTTATTAGGGACTCTGATTTTTATTTTTTGATAGTTGCTGCCTTGTATTCCGTGCATATTACGACTGGTTGTTTACTGAGCTTGCAGCACTGTTATGCACATTCAGATGTTGGGAGACAGTCTTTCAGGTACTTGATGTAAAGTTCCAAGCTTGCACGGATTTGAAGAGGCTGAATAGGGGGACATATCTGCACTATTCTCATCATTTAAGAATGAATATATAGTCATGGTTGGTTCTTGTTTCATGGTTTATATAGAGAAAATTTACCTTGAACCTTTTCATGTTTTTCAGTTGTGCCCCAAATTCCTTCACACCAACTCCACCAGTCATACCTGGCCGTTCAGCGCTGTGGCAGAACTTATCGGTATGTCATTTTCTTTCATTTTTGTCTTTTTGCTTCTTTTAGTGTTCTGCTCACTTTCCTGCTTAGAATGTATCCCCGATATCTGAAAATATACATTACCTGGCCGGTTATTAGTAGGGATGCTCGGAGACCGTTTTTTCGGTATCGCGTACAAGTACCGATATTTATTTTTCCGGTACTCGCCGATCCTGAATACTTGTACTGGAAGTCCCATTAAGAAAGCCAGGCGGGATGTAATGACTTGGCTCCTGGCTTACTGATTAGGCAGGAAGCCGGGCGGCGTGTAAAGACTCGCCACCCTGCTTCCCGGTTAGCAGGGGAGCCGTCTCCATGCTTCTCATCACCAGGTGACGAGAAAGCATGAAGTCGGCTTCCTGGCCAATCAGACCGGCCGCTTCATTACACAGCGCACATCTTCCTGATTGTCCTGCTTCCCGACCAATCAGGAAGCCGGGCAGCAAGTCATTACATGCTGCCCGTACTCGTGATTGGCTCCCTCGTCACAAGATATGAGGGAGCAAGGAGCCAACTTCCCAGCTAATCAGGAAGGCGGGCAGCGTGTTATAACTTGCTGACCGGCTACTGATACCAGATGCTCAAGTATCGGGCTAGGTATCGGAGCATTTGGGCGAGTATACATTTTTTTTCCTTCCTTGTATTCCAAGAAGAAAGGTATTACACCTTCACCAAGTCACGTTTGGCTGAAATCTGGCCATACAATATTAGTCAGGATACCTGAGGAGAGCCAGCAGCTCATTGGCTGCCGCCTCTGTTTGCTCGAAGATTTTCAGACCGGCTCCTTTGATCAGCTGATCGAGTTTTCTGTCGAGAATGCCGACCCAGTCGAATTTGCCGACCTGACCATCTGCGTTTGTGCACAGACGGCATTAAGGAGGAAACGGCCATTTATTTACTAAGTATTAATTTCTAATTGTTAATTATGACCATTCATAATATGCCATCCGAGCCAGTAAATGATGGATGGCATTTTATGCACATTCACAATTAACATCGTAAGCAATTACATTATTATGTCGTTGCTTACGATATTCATTGTGAATGTGCATAAAATGCCATCCATCATTTACTGGCTCGGATGGCATATTATGAACTGAGCCCGCCTCAGCCTGGAAGGGGCCCGACAGTACTGTCGATCCACCCAGCTACGTGATTGACAGCTGGCTCTGCCTATCTAGAGGCGAAGCCAACTGTGCCCGCCCCCTCCCCTGTCCGTTCCGCTACTCAGCGCTGGAGGATTGGAGAGGGGAGGGGGGAATCCCTGCAGAGAGCGGTGACTTACAGTCACCGCTCTCTGCAGGGAGATGATCGGAAAGTGAGCGAGCGACGGTATCTGTTTTGCTCACTTCCCGATCTATTAAGCTGACGTGTGATAGTTTCATTGTCACACGTCGGCTTGAACTATGAGGATGAGTGAAAATAACTCGCCTCATAGTTCTCCTTTTAAGTACATCTCTGCAGTACATGCACATTTCCTCATGCTCTGTGCTGACTGAGCTGGATAATAGCCCCTCAGCACAAATGTCCTCACTAGGGATGCACCAATACCGGTATTTCGGTATCAAGTAGCAATATTTTTTTTTCGGTACTCGCAGATACCGATACCGGAAGTTCCATTCAGGAAGCCAGGCAGCGTGTAATGACTCCCAAACCCGACTTCCCGATTAGCAGGGAGCCGTCCCCATGCTTCTTGTCACTTGTGACGAGAAAGCATGAAGCCGGTTTCCCGGCCAAGCATGAAGCCGGCACCATGCTCTCTCGTCACAAGTGACGAGGAAGCATAGAGCCGGCTTCCCAGCCAATCAGGAAGCTGGGCAGCGTGTAATGACGCACTGCCCGGCTTCTTGATACCAGAAGTATTGGGCTAGTCATCGGAGCATTTGGGGGAGTACAAGTACTTGCCCGAATACTCTGCACCGATACTAGTATCGGTATCCGTGCATCCCTAGTCCTCACCTCAGAGTTGTATTGCTAAGGAGGGGGTGTCTGACCATTTCCATTACTGAATGCTGATTACTGAGTGCACTAGGTCTAACTGGTGTCCATTGGACTGCACAGTCCTATTTATATACAGTGCACAACTTCTGTAACAGGAAAGTGGAGATAATACTATAAACATTGGAAATGAGTAGCAGTATTTCTATAACTGTGAATCTATTTCCTTTTTTAAACAATATATTTAATTTACAAAAACAGTTTCCACATTTAACACATTATATTAAACATCCTATAAATCCGAACATAAAATCTTATATGTGTTACATATGCAGTTCATTATTCCATTACCCATTCTCTTCCAGATTAAAATACCATCATAACCACCTCATCACCCTCCTTTCATCTCCATTGTCCCCTTCCCCCACTCATTCCACAAAAGGGGACGTGAATCTCTATTTCTGGGACTTTAAGCTTTCGAAGACAAGGATGAGTGGGTCATTTTTTGGCCTTCCCCGTAAATAGTTGTTTTTCAGCAATAGAATTGTGAGCTTTGTCATTTCCACTGTAGCTTTCTTTTTGCTGCTGTAAAGCAAAGCTGGAAAATGTTTCACAGTGATTAGCATCGTTCTCTGATTTCTTTACAGATAATGCCTATGATCCCGATGTCAACGCCAAGCAAATCTGGATTGATAAGTCTGTTTTTAAACAAGAGATCTGTCTCACGTTTACAGACAATGGGAATGGGATGAGTTTAGACAAATTGCACAAGATGCTGAGGTAAGTGCTGCATTCCATTCATCTTTCTGAGGATAGAATTCCACTCTACTAACTGAGGGTATACTATTGGGGTTGTATTGCTGCACCTCTCTTCCTGTCAGCAGCACAGGAAGTCAGGGACTCCTTCTCTACGTTATGCGTGTAGTCCAATTTTAATGCCTTCTAAGTTTGGTTTTGTTTCAGCATTTTTTTTGTTCTGCTCACACATACCACTGTGACCTGTGTTTTCACCGCATGGCTTAATCCGGTTTACTGCAAGGACACAGAAAGCAATTGTTTTCTGTGTGTCCCACTCACACCACAAGGACAGTGTGCGGCGGAAGAATGCAGGCATGCTATATCTTTTTGCAGTTTGCTGGATGCCACCGCAGGTCACCACATGACAGCGCAACATAGGAGGAGCACCTAAATGGAGTGGCTGTCTCTGCTCGCGCGCCGTCGTCCCTGGCTGTCTTGTTGCCCCTAGATAATTTGAGTTTGAGACCCATGGTCTGAATGTTCTCAGATATGATGGTGTTTGTTCACCTATTTTATTAAATAACTCACCGTTTGAGAAATCAGAATTTGACAGGGCAATGTTGCTACACGTTTTTGCACGGTGGCAATAAAAAGCTGAAGTGATTGCATCACAAAGCGAGCTGCTGATTCCCCCTTTCTGGTTTTGTATCAAGTGCCAATTAGGAGGATGTCAGGCAAATCTCTCGAGAGAAGGTCATGCAATTGTTTGGCTCCTGGGAAATGTAATTCTTGCATACCATCCCTGTAAAGTGTGGCTCCTAGTTTTTTTTTTTTTTTGTGTTTTTTTAATAGATAAAACACCTTTATACTAAATACAGTACAAGGAGTATAACAAACTTTATTTATTAAGGATTTTCTTTTTTCCCTCTGTTCTGAAATTCTGTTTAAAGGAGAATTATGGGGTAAGTGTTTTTCCCCATAGTTCTCCTAAGGGTAACGGGAGGACACAAACTGGCGTCCTCCCGTCACCCTAAGCTCAGTATACCGCGAGCTACAGCTTGCGGTATACTGACACGCCGCAGCCGGGACGGATCCCGACATTACTGTCGGGATCCACCCAGCTGCGTGAATGACAGCTGGCTCTGCCCATTTAGAGGCAGAGCCAGCTGTACCCGCCTCCTCTCCCGTCCGTTCCGCCAGTCAGCGCTGGAGGATTGGAGCGGGGAGGAGGGGGGAATCCCTTCAGGGAGCCGTGAGTGACAGTCACAGCTCTGCAGAGATAGATCGAAAAGTGAGCGAGCGGCGGTATGTGTTCGCTCACTTCCCGATCTATTGAGCCTACGTGTGACAGTTTCATTGCCACAGGTCGGCTCGAACTATGAGGCTGCGTGATTTTCACTCGCCTCATAATTCTCCTTTAACCATGTTAAAAATCAATATTGTTGCAGTACAATATGCATAGTTACATTTGTTGGTAAGGTTGAATAAAGACACAGGTCCATCCCGTTCAACCTATGTTTGTGTGATGAGACTTAAAAAGCATGTCTTCTAAAATCATGCAGTGAGACGGAAAATCTTAAATGTAGTTTACATTATGGCGTTTCCAGTAGCTGATGTCTCCCTACAGCAGGGGTAGCCAAACTCTGGCCCTCCAGCTGTGGTGGAACTACTAATCCCATGAGGCATTGTAAGATTCTCAGAGCCACGACTCCCGGAGAGAGATGCATCGTGGGATTTGTAGTTTCACCACAGCTGGAGGGCCGGAGTTTGGCTACCCCTGCCCTACAGGAATCTTTGAAAGGTTTGTAAGCAGCGTGATTCAGCTTGTGAGCAACCACACAGAACTGAGAGAACACCGGTCACAACTTGGCCTTTGTAAACCTCTAAGTCTCTGCTCTTGAATTATTATAATCGCTAGTGCTATTTGTCCTATTTATCTGTATTCTTTCCCTTTGCGACTTGTGTGTGATCGCAGCCTCGCAGAGGTTGTCTTTATCACTAGTTTCATGCCGTTCATTGATGTTATCTTTGTTTTTATCTTTTTTTCAGTTTTGGGTTCAGTGACAAGGTTGCTGTTCATGGTCACGTGCCTGTCGGCCTGTATGGAAATGGGTTTAAGTCAGGATCTATGCGTTTAGGAAAGGACGCTATAGTGTTCACCAAAAATGACTCCGGAATGCACGTGGGAATGTTATCTCAGACCTATCTGGAGAAGATTAACGCGGAGCACGTCATGGTGCCAATTATCTCGTTTGACAAGCAAAATATCCTTTTGCGTGCTTTCTTCCCCATCACATGTGATTCTTCTACCCGTGTATGTTTAACATGTATAGCAGGTTCAGTCAAACCACTTGGGAATTTTCTTTACACACACTAAAGGGGGCAGGAGGCAAATATGAAAAAACATAAACCGTAAAAAGTAATTTAATCATTCCGTGACTTTAAAGTAGAGGTGCACCGAAATGAAAATTTCAAAACCGAAACGAACAAAAAGTCGAGCCGAAACCGAAAATGTTTTTTCTAACTTTCAACATTTTTTCAATATTTTATTTACTTTTTATAAACTTTTCATTTTTTTTTCAATATTTTTATTTTTTACTTTTACGGGCTTCGGGGAAATATTAGGGGTCTAAACAAACCCCTGATATTTCCCTTTTAAAATAGAAAAAGAGATTGAGAACACAGAGTCTTCAATCTCTCTTTCTGCAACCTCTGTTATAGATGAACAGGAATCCTCTATACTGAGTGTTCCTGTTCATTCATAACATGAGGACAGAGTGTGTTTACTATATCCACAATCATGAATGAACAGGAGGTGATGTAAATCACTTCCCATTCATTCAAAATTGAGGATATAGTCAACATACTCTGTCCTCAATTATTTACACTCAGCGATCACTGACTTCGGTGCATCCCTACTTTACAGTGAAACTAAACCCAATGATTTAACATTTTCCCAAAACCGTTACATTCAAGGCATGCCTCTGGTGATAACTAAGGAAACACCAAAAACAAGGGGCGCCTTCCCTAGTGTAGATACATTTTTATTAGACAAGCGGCAAAAGTAGAATAATACTCACAAAAGAGTAGATGACAATGCGCCATCAAAATCAAAGGTTGATCCTCATTTTAGCAAAAAGCAAAACACTGCATATGAGAGCTGCACAGATGGTAGTTCCTGTGTGCCAGCACAGTATGCCTAGGTTGACGTCCCCCCCTTCCTCAGAACCTGTCATCTACTCTTTTGTGAGTATTATTCTACTTTTTCTCTCTCTCTCTCTCTCTCTCTCCCTCTCTCCCTCTCTCCCTCTCTCCCTCTCTCCCTCTCTCTCCCTCTCTCTCCCTCTCTCT